AGGAAATATTCTTTACAGCAAGTCAAAACAAATGAAATGAATGATATATTCTTACATGGTGTTGTAACGGAGAGCAAAGAGCAAGGATGCTCCTTGTCAGTAGAGTCCTGGTCATGCCTGAGAGAAACCATGTTAATGATGAGGCCCTTAGGTTCAACCCAGGAAACTGGCAGTGCATGGCTTTGTGATTACAGCCTACTATTGCACCACAGTATACAGTTGGATTGGTGAATGTTTCTGTGTGCATGGGGGAGCATTATATAATTCTTCTCTTATTATATCTTTACCTAGCTAAACAAATTAGATCTTCCTGCCTTTTATTTTCCTAGGTTGTCACAAGCTGATAGCTTTGGTGGGGAGGGAAGGGGAAAATGAGCAACTGATATTAAGGGCTGAGGTGGAGGGCAAAGGTTTTGAGAATGATGAGGGCAACGAATGTACATATGTGCTTGACACAATGGATGTATGTATGGATTGTGATGAGAATTGTACGAGTCCCCAATAAAATAATAAAAAAAAAGAATGAGATGGGGTCAAACCTGACAACAGCAAGTGGAGAGATGAGCTAAGAACTTTGGAGGACAGCAAATGCAGCTGACTGGTGAGGAACAGCTCAGAAGCGGAGGAGGGAATGGTCACACAATTCAAGGATGCCTCCATGTCACTGACCTTGTCATAGAGAAGGGGTGGAGTTGGCACACGTCTTGCTGTGTGTAGTCTCCAAAACAACAAACTAAGTAAAGTTTAGAACAAGGAACAGTGTCTAATGAAAGTATCCATTAATCTTTTTGCTGCCGTTGCCTTTCTTATTTTTTTTTTTAAATGCTGCGGTACTTTTCTTAACACACAGACATTCCCATGATCTTGTTATATTTGCCACTAACGCCCCTTTCAAACTTTATTCCTAAACTCTTTCAAGTTTCAGACCTCTCTGTTCACATTTCTTGAACTCTGTTCACTTGACTATATCACCAGTTCCTAAAGTCAGTGTCCTCATCCCTGGGCTTCCAACCCAACTCTGCTCCTCGTGTGTTTTCCCATTTCAGTGAAATGTACCATCATGTACCTGATGCTCAAGCCAGCAACCTGGAATAATTTTTGGCACTTTTTTACCCCTCGCTTTCCCTATTGAATCACTTACCAGGATCTGTCGTTTTACCTCCCACATACCCTTGAACTCATTACTTTTTCCAACTTTCCTGCTGTTTCCCTAACTTAATCCAATATTGTTTCCAGTTTGGGCACTTGCAAGAGCCTCTAATTGGTCTGCTTTTCTCAAGTCTTGTTCTCATGCATACTAATTTCTACTAGTCATCCAGTGTTTCCTCGATAATGCATGTTGAGTCATACCTACTCGGTTCCCTTTAATGGCATCCTATTGTCTCTAATATAAGGTCCAAATCCTATAACATGATTTTATAACTCTCATTATGACTTCACTTATGCCTACCTTGTTAGCCTCATTTCTTGATTGTTATGCCACCAAATTCTTGTTCTCCATCTATGTTGAATTTCTTTGGGGTTTTTAAATTCGATTTCATCTAGCAAATATCATTATTAGAATGGTGGCTCCTTAGCCTTGAGGTATTTCAGTATTACATAGGGCATTTTGTTCTTGGATGGTACCTTTTTCCATTTGGCTATTGTCTCATATTCTTAGAAGCGTATTCCTTGAAGTAACACTTGCTCCTTATAAACTCTGCAGAGTTGGTTATCTTAATGTACTACAAGTTTTTCCATCTTCTATCAGCATTTTTACATTTTCATGTGTATTAGTCTGCGTACTTTGGAGAAACAAATCCACAGTGACCATGTAGAAGAGAGAGTTTTATGTAAAGAAAAGGTGCATCACGAAAACATCCCAACCCAATGCTGCCCAAGCCCACAAGTCCAACATTAACCCATTAACCCAATACCAGTCCACAATGTCTTCCACCTCACAAAACAGAGGCAATGATGCCGACTGCAGGAGGAAAGCTGAGTCAGTGAACGAACAAGCATCTCAGCACTAGCAGGGGTCTCCACACGGCTGCTCCAGCATCCAGGGCTGCATCGGGATAGGTCCATGCGGCTTCTCCTTGGGGATGTCTTGTAGGATGTCAATCTTGCAAGCTGAAGCAGGGAGCTGCTAAAGCAGCTGCATCCTGGTGCGACCGTCACAAAGCAAGAGACCCGAGAACCAGAAAGGCGAGGCTTCACCACCCATTTATCCCTCCCCCTTTCAACCAGCACCACATGTGATTATCGGCCAGGCTGGCACAATTAACTAACTCATCATGGTTATTGATGAGACTAAGGGCTACAGAACAGACTTATATATCCTTGGACTTTTGGCACGCTTTTGTTTCTATTCTTCAATCTGAAACTCAAATCAATTATGTTCTATTAACTCCTCATGTACCTTATTTCATTGGGGTAAGATAGATGCTCTAAATAAAATGGAGATTCTAAAGTGTACTGTAAATTCCCAAGTATTAAAAGCCTTTTTCATTTAAACTCAGAGAATAAAATTTGCTGTAAATGCATATTTTCTTATAACCTTAAACATGGATTTTGGACACAACTGCCCCTTTTCTTGGCAAATTATGATCATCATAAAAAACATTCATCATGTTTATTCTACATCTGCTTATTTCTTGGTGTTTCTCCATCTTTAGTGCTTGTTGTCAGCTTTCTTATTTAGATTATGCTTGTTGGTTTCAAATTCCTCATCTCCTCTTGCTTACTAAACCACATAGCCACTCCTTGTCATCATTATGTTAAAGAGGAGACACTGAGATCTGGCTTGAAATATGAGGTGCTTGATGACTTCAGGTTTACTGCATCTAAAAAGGTTTCTTTTTTCTGTTTACTTTCTTCCAAATTTAGGGCAATGAATGCTTTTAACGGATGAGCATACTGTAGTCCTGGATTTGCATACATTTGTATTCAGTAGACATAGGGGAACGGAGACAACTGTAAAATATATAGTACCCGCTAATTATCCTGTTACTTTTGCTGAGTGGTGGCTGCTTTTCATTTGTTTTCATGCTAGTTTTATGTTTCAGTGCAGTGGA